CCCACGCTCCTCCGGCGAGCTAAGAAAATGTTTTTTCTCCCTGAGCCTGGCCTTCATAATTCCATTCCATCACACAGGTGACGAGGGAGATTTTGCGTTGGCTCCCTTATTAATTTAATCCGCTCCTGTTTTGTGTGTTTTTACTGTTTTTTTATGTGTAGTTGTTTTTATGTATTTATTTTTTTTAGTTGTTGTACGCCGCCCAGAGTCACCTTGTGTGAGATGGGTGGTTATATAAATATGATAAATAAATAAATAAGAACAACAAGAAGATCCCAGTGTGTTATAATTATACTGCATCTGTACTAGCTGTACGGCTAAAATAGTGATGTAGATTGAATAACATGTTGCAGCCTATGTTGATTTATTTATGGAGACTATTTTTGGTATATTTAATACATAAAGGGAGAATTAACACCTTATTAGGGAATGGAGGGCAATGTTATAGATGGTCTCCTTGGCATATCCTAGGCATGCTTATCCGGTAGAAGGGAGGCAGATGCGTGTTTATGTGTTCTATGGTTTTTATATTTTTATATTTTTAAAGCTGCACTGGGGTGGCATTTAATTTCATTGTACGAGAAGTACAATGACAATAAAGATGACTTTGACTTTGACTTTGACTTTGACTTTGACTTCCATGCGATGTTGCAATGCAAATACGAAAGGGCAGAGTGTTCACTGTGATGTCACAATGCGTGTTTGGTTATTTTATCATCCTCATGGCTAGGTGTGAATACACCTGGTTCTAGTGTTTGGGTTATGACTGTGAAAAATGGGATGTCTCTGTTTTGTCTGAGGAGCATGCCAATATGCAAGGGTTGAATGAAAAGTGATGCCTCCACTTCCATAACTTTAGTTTAGTTTCAGATATTTTAATAATTGAAACAGAAAAATAACCCTTGAAGTAAGCTGTTTTGTTGCCTGTATTTCATTCTCCACATAATCATCTTTCACTACACGCTTCTGCCAACGATGGACATGCTATTTAAAGCCATCATGAAAGAACTCCACATTGTCTGTTCAATCAGATCCAGATAGATGCTGACCAAGATATTTGTTCGATTTTGGGAAAAGTTGCATGGGACCAATTCTGGCTGTATGGGTTAAGATGGTGAGATCCAACTTTGCAACTGCCTCTTGGATGCTTTGAGAGATGAGGCTTAGTGTTGTCATGTTGCAGCAAGATTTCCTTCTTGTTCTTCTGAACTCTATGTAATTGTTGTTTCAAAGTTTTGAGTGTTGCAATGTAGCCCTTTTATGTCATAAGAAATGGGTTTGAATCTTGGTCCCCCAAAACTGTAACCTGTGTTTTCCTGCAAAGCCTGGCTTTGAATTTATTTTCCTGCAGGTAAAGCTTTGTGATAATATTCCATGGAGTGACACTGTGTTTTTGGGTCATAAGGATGGGCACAAGTTTTGCCAGCTGCCTTGTTGCTTAAACCAGTGTTTTTCAACCTCAGCAACTTTAAGATGTGTGGCCTTCAACTCCCAGAATTCCCCAGCCAGCATGGTTAGGGGATGCTCAGAATGCTGGCTAGGGAATTCTGGAAGTTGAAGTCCACACATCTTAACGCTTCCAGGGTTAAAAAACACTGGTATAAAGTGTTCCGAATCTCTTAAGCTCCACTCTGTCACCTAGGCAGATGCTCAGATAGTACAGAAAAATAGGGAAAGAGGCCTTCAAGTCATGCTTTATTCTTGGTAACTTCATGGACAACTCCAGGTACATTTCCTGTTTTCTGGGATTTGTTTTTTCCAATGCTCCAAATTAGTTTATAGCCTAGGAGTTTTCTGGTGGTGTCCCATCCTAGATGTGGGTGGGTTGTACTAAAGCAGTGTTTTTCAAACTTGGCAACTTTAAGAGGTGTTGAGTTCAACTCCCAGAATTCCCCAGCCAGGCAGACACACATTTCTCCTCCTCACATTATAGCCACTTCCTTCCACTATCCTTTATTGCCTTTGTTTCTCTTCTCTCCATTGTTTTTTCTTCTCTCCGTTCTCTCCTGCCTCCATACCCCCTTCGGCCATAGCCTTCCACATTACCATCTTTTCAGTCCTCCTCCACCATTCCTATTGCTCTCAGTCACCCATGCCCTGGCCACCTCCCATATGGATTATTGTAACATGCTGTACATGAGGCTGCCATTGAAGAGCATGTGGAAGCTTCAGTTGGTGCAAAATGCAGTGATGCAGGCACTTCTGTGCACTCCTTGATCAGTGCACATTGCACCTCTACTCTCTGAAGTTGCATTGGTTGCCAGTTGGCTTCTGGGCTCAGTTCAAGATGCTGGTCATCACTTACAAACCCCTTTGTGGAATATGGGCTGGTTATCTGAGGTTACATCTACCTGTCCCACCAGGTCTGGCAGAAGAGGCATGTTACGGGTCCTGTCTATTAAGGAGTGTCATCTGATGGGACCCAGGAGGAAATCTTTCCTGCCATGGCGCCTACAGTTTGGAACATCATCCCCCACAGGTCATATTGGCCCAACTCTACTGGAGTTTTGGAAGGCTCTGAAGACATGGCTCTGTCAGCATGCCTGGAGATCTGGCTATGGTTTGGAGCCTGCTAGATGGTTGTATCGATTGATGGGTGACTTGTACTTCCCTGCTGATTATGTTTTGTGTTTTTAATTTGGTTTTAATCTGATTTTGAAAGGATTACTGTTTTTACTGATATTTGTACTTCCTTTATTGGTTTTGTTACTTGGTGGTTTAATCACGTGAGCGACCCAGAGTCACACATGTGAGATGGGTGGCTATACAAATTGAATGAATGAACGAACAAATGAATAAATAAATAAATATTATCCACCACATCTTGGGGCATCTGCTGGCTTTCCTACTCCAACCATGTAGGACTCTTCTTCCTCTCATAACTGAGGATGGCTGGGATCCAGAGTTCACTGACACTCAGTCTTGCCAAGGTTCAGCTGAAGCTTGTTGTTCCCCATCCAGATGCTCACAGCCTCCAGACACAGGGATAAGGCTTCCACAACATCACTTACTTCACCAGGGGAAGAGATGTATAATTGAGTATCATCAGCATATTGATGATATCTCACCCCATGGCGACGGATGAGCTCACCCAGCAGTCTCATGTAGATGTTAAATAGGAGAGGTGAGAGCACCAACCCCTGCAGCACCCCACAGAGCAGGGGGGGGGGGGGGGATCTCTCCTCCCCAATCACCACCATCCCTGGAGGAAGGAGGTGAACCAGCACATCACTGTGCCACCCACCCCCAATCTTCTGAGCTGATCCAGAAGGATACCATGGTCAATGGTATTGAAAGCCACAGAGAGGTCAAGTACAGCAAGGATGGACACACAACCCCCATCCCACTCTCGCCAGAGATCACCCAAAAGCTCAACCAATGCCATTTCTGTCCCATACCCAGGTCTGAACCCTGACTGAAAAGGATCCAGATATCCCACTTCATCCAAAGTCCTCTGAAGCTGTTGCGCGACCACCTTCTCAATCACCTTCCTCAAAAAGGAGAGGCTGGATGTTGGACGAAAATCATCCAGTATCGCGTGGTCCAGCGACGGCTTCTTGAGGAGGGGGCAAACCAGAGCCTCCTTAAGAGGTGCAGGAACGACCCCCTCAACTCAAGGAAGAACTCACCATTGCCAGAACCCACCCACACGACACCCCCCAGGCTGCTTTCACAAGCCAGGCGGGGCATGGATCTAGACAGCGGGTGGCTTTGCTCACAGTCCTAAGGACCCTGTCCAGCCGTTCCAGATAACCAGGCAAGACTCCACCCTAGGCATCTCCCCCGGACCTGCAGCAAAGCCGGTGTTGAACTGCGAATGAATATTTATAGATTTTTTTTTCTTAAATTGTTCCATTTTTAAAAACGGGAGTATGTCTACAGCCACTGGGGTGGCGGGGTGAAGCCATGCCTGCGCCAAGTAGAGGTGGCCAAGATTGGCCCCAAAGTCACCCACCAAATTTCCTGGTCACTCTTGGACTACAGTTCCCATAATACCCAACTGGAATAGTTTTGGCTTCTCTGCCTAGGTGACTTGCCATCTGCATTTTGTTTTTACAGTGATGTCTGTTTCTCTTCCCTCAAAGTCTTTCAGACAAACAAATAAATAAAGGCAGTGGGGACCCAAAATCATTTGAGATAGTGTTTCTCAACCTCAGCCAATTGAAGATGTGTGGACTTCAACTCCCAGAATTTCCTTGCTAGCCAGCTGGTGGGAGAATTCTGGGAGTTGAAGTCCACACATTTTCAAGTTGCTGAGGTTGAGAAGTACAGTTACTGTATCAGCAGCAGCATTCTCCTCATCCCTGCTTGGACTTGCCCAATCCCCACCGCCCTCCGAAGGGCGCATGCGCCCTTGCCCCCACCCAGCTTTTCCTTTCAGCCGTTTGGTTTCTCCCTCGTCACGTGCCGGAGCAGGGACCGCCATGGCGGCGCCCGGCTTGGCCTCGCCCACGCTACGGCGGGCGTCGCGGCCCAGTGACGTCAGGTCTCGGCGCTGGGGCGAGAGGCGGGGCCGCGGGGGTCGACGGCGATGGGGCTCGCCGAGGAGGAAGAAGGGGGTGGAAGGCGGCTCCGCGGCTGCTGACCCTCCGCGGGGAGCGAGCGGGGGGACCGTTGTCCCCACAGGGCTGGTAGCAGCGGCGGGGAAGGGCGGGCGGGCGGGGGCAGGGCCC